TTAATTTATTGAACTGAGAAAAAAAATACAATACGCAGGTTTTCAATCCTTTTTTTTTCTTTAAACAAACTGTGCTTTTGCTTCTGTAAACAGAACTGGAGAAATTATCAAAATGTTCACAGTAACTTGTGTTGCTTCACATGTTGTCTTCATATTCCGACTATTTATTTATTCACAACAGTTTTAAAATAGCTGCCCTGGTGATTGAATTGTTACATCATGTTGTGGGCTGCTCATTTGTTCCCCTACAGGCCTTAATCTGTGTGGCGGCTGTTTACAAATAGAGTAAAAACATGTTTGAACCCACTACATATTATGTCGTAAATACAGCATACTGTCATTGTTTGTGTCTGGGAAACCATGAAGCAGAGAAAAAAAATCTTGAGGTAATTAGCTACAAATGCACAAATAAATATTATTTTACAAAATCTTGGAAATGCTTTTCGTGCCTGTGTGAAGAACTTTGAATTGCCTGGTGTTTGAAAGGTGCTATTTAAATAAATGTGCCTTGCCTTGCCTTGCCTTACATTTTGAAATGTGAATTCAGTGCAAAAACATCACCCTCAATCTTACTGAACTGGTGTCATTTGATATATACAAAACTGCAAAACTGGTCAAATATACAGAGTCTGTCTTTTAACACTAAAATGAATGAAAGTAGCTGTAATGTGTGTGGTTCTCATATTTCAGCTTGCAAGCATTTCATTATTCCCTGAGGAGCCACAAACTCTGAGCCAAACCACACAATCACTGGGTTTGTGAGAAAAGTTCTCTTTTTGGCTTCACGTGTTTCTTGTTGCCAATCCAGCCGAACACATTGTTACAATCTCACCCAGCAGACATACTGGCCACGCTGCCCTGCAGACAGGTCAGCTGGCATGCTGAGGACTTCAACCGGAATTTAGAAATCCCCTTATTCCTCAGTGGATGAGGAGGACACAGATAATCATCCACATTCCTCAGTCCCTCCCTCTCCACACCCACAGGCCCTCTCACTACCTCGACACAAATTAAGACACTCAGCAGTCTAAACCAGGATGTGCATCCTTGTGATGGAAGGAATGGTCTTTGAGATCCAGACTGAGTCAACCTACATTAGTATAGTATAAAATATTAATGGTGTCTCTGATATCTGACTTAATGTGTTACACAAACACAAATATTTTTTTGCACATACTCTGTTTTTGGTATCCTGTAAATTTGGATAAATTGCTGTTAATATTTTTAAAGCTACATTTTACATTCCTATTTATACTTAATGTTCCTGAATTAGTCATTTCCATTCTTATACTTCAATAATCCTGACCTTTACCAAACAATTATCAAGGACAAATCCTTGTTTGTGTCAATTCATTGACAGTGTTTGTCGCTCATTTGTTGGATATTTGTAACCGAAGTTAGAAATGCATCCAGTGACACTTTATGTGTATACAGTAAAGCTCTGATGTAAGCAATAAGTTGATCAGACGCAACACAATACAGAAACAAATTGTCATTATTTTTCCTTTGAGGTGGACCCTGTTTATTGTTTTCTGAGGCATTATTGCTGACAAGGTTGTCCTATTGAGTTCAGCTCTGCGCGTGATTGGTCGACAGCCTTCCACTGCTTCAATCTGAAATCCATTCATTTTGTTGCTCTTGACATACTAAAGCTTTTTGATGAATTACCCAGACGAACAATGGATACGTGGATAAATAAGACAAAGGCAAATGATCAATATATCTTTTGTATATCTGATACCTTTAAAACAAAGCAGCCACAAAAAAAAGTACAATTCAAATAGATGTAACATTATCAGCCTTCATTTGTGCTTATTTATCCTTATATGATATGATATCTCACCGCTAACTGAAAAGGGTGTTTTTAAAGCACATAGCAAATCAATAACCACCAAACTGGGTAAGAACAGGAACAGGAAATCATTCATACAAACTCTGCTGTGGCTGATTTTTCAGATAGCAATGACTGGACTTTCGGAGGAACATCAGAAGTAGCTTGTAACTCGACACCAGCATGAAACCTTAATCCTACCAGCAGAGGAAATAAGGGAGGGAAATTTGATGCTTTAAGAGCTTCCTTGCACCCTGATGGGATTTGAATTTGGTTTCGCTTTAGAAATCTCCAACAGGACCTACATCAGGAAGGCTGATAGTGGAGTGAACTGCTTTGTGCGCTTATGTTATTTCTAAAGTCTTTAAAGGATGAGGGCAGATATGAACAGAGACCTTTAAGACAACCACCTTCAGGGCTTTGTATGTGCTTCTGGTTCATATAGATACACGTTTCCCAGATGAATATTTAGGGGTTAGGGTAAAGCTTTTACTTGATTATAAATGTGAAGTCTGCAGAAAGACAAAGGTCAAACACTTTGAGCATAAAAAAGAAAAGAAAAGGCATACAAGGACACTGTTATTGATATAGACCCATGACAGTCACAACAGTGTTCTTCTTTGCTATAGACTTAAAAAATATCCCTTTTTCTGCTCCATTGTATGACAGTATCACATAGTTTTTCTGGGCCAGCCTGTTCCAGCTCTACTTGAAAGCTTAATAATGTTTACATCGAGTGAAATATTCAAAACCAAACCATACTTTCCTGAGCCACACAATTGAGTTAAAACGAATATTCCACAAAACCTGTGCACCATTTTGTACTGATTTTTCCCACAAAAGTGAAGCAACATAATTGGTATGTTTGGTATTTTGTGACCTCTACAAGAAGTTCAAATAAAGAATTGTTTCTCTTTGTATTTATGATGTCGTATTGCATTTAGGAGAGAGTGCAAAACTCTGAGGTTTTCTGCTGGAGATGTGAACTCCCTCTTTGTTTCTTATTTATGTCACATAGGCCTCCTGAAAAATTACAAATAGATATTAATAATGTGCTATTATGAAAATAATAACAGCAAAGAAAGTTCTGAAAAAAGAAGATATAAAGTACAATGGGTTATAATAAGTTCGGCCACAGCGCATGCTTGTCAAAGCGCTCTGTGAATTTCAAGTAGAAAAATTATTCCAGAGTAATGTATGTATGACATTGTTGTGGAGCAGTTTAGTCAATTATCAGTACATCTTGTTTGACACAAGTTATGATGTACTCATTCAGAAAGCTGTTTAAAAATATTTGTATTAAATTACAGCGTCTAAAGGCTGTTCGAAGTTCATGTCCAAAAAGTTGTGAATCTAGAGGAGAGATTCAGAGTCTTTGTCTGACCTGGTCCTGAACCTCATCTCATTCTGAATGGCAACTGAAATGTACCCCTATAGCATCAAGTTTCAGAAACTGTTGTGTACTTCAGGTTTGTTAGAAATACCTGTGCAGAGTCTGGGCTTGTCTGCTTCCTTTCCTCTGATATGTCCAGATGTAAATCAGATTTTCTTTTCAACCCTAGATTATAACTAGAAGATTTTTTAATTCAGGCCATGTGACATTGCTTGTTTTGCAAAAGGTTTAGAGCATGGTTTAATTCCACAAGTATGGCATATTTAGTGGAAGCATCTTTATCTTTATTTTTGCAGAAATACATTATTATTATTATTATTATTATTAGTATTATTATTATTATCATATATTCTGAGGTGTGTGTGTGGGGGTTGCTGATAGTAACAAAAATCATGTTGTAATACATTACTGGAAAGTTTATACGATGGACGTTTGGACTAAGTGTTTGTAGGCCTACTCTGTTGTTATTTTATCAGTGGAAAATGTTTTTTGTTTAATTTTTCACAGCAATCTATCACTTTTCTTTTCCAGTGGGTCCTGGGGGGCCCAGCTTTTTTTTCCTGAAACAAGTATTTGGGGCTCAATTGTAAAAAGGTTGGGAACCACTCTGCCTTAACGGTTGCAACAGCTTAACATTTTATTAAAAATACTGAGCATGAAGACCAAAACAAACACAGGCCAAAGTGGCCAGATGAAGAATAGTGCTGCTTTAAATACCTTTTGATTGATACTATTGAGGGGCTGAATGTGTTGTAATGAGGGGGGCAGTTCCTCAGTCTGGATTCAACAACTCAAAGCTTTATTTAAGCCCATGTCTGATGAACCTAAAAGGTCTCAGAGGTCAAACGCAGGAGATCAGAGACGTAGCCAGAGCTTATTCTAAAGCATCTACAGCAGACGACATCACAAACAGGGGTGGACGCATTAAAGACTGTAAGCTTAAATGAGCTACAGTTCCGCTTTTGACATTATTCAGTGGTGATGTGAGTTATTTATGTGCCACATTTGAAAAAAAAAAAATGCTTACTTTACACTTTCACAAACTGAATGTATCAAATCAATCTAGCACACGCTGAAAAGTGAATATATGAATGGTTGTCTTGATTCATAGCTAATAAAGGATGCAATATTAATCTCAATACTTCAGTATCTACTCTTTATGTCACATGTTCTTAATGCATTACTTTATGGAACCTACTAAAAAGAGGAAGTATTTCTGAAAATAATAGGCTAGGTGGTGTTTTAAGACATGGGTTGCATTATTACATGTTAATTCCAAATGTTTATTCTAATTTCGCGGTGAATCCACTCTCTCTTATGGTTGGGTTTTTATAGGGAGACTGTGACCTCTAGCCCAGGCCAGCCCCTGCTTATATTTCATTGCATCCTGATTCTCTGACATGTAGTGTGTTGGATGGGGGGAAGGGTAGGAAGAGGAAGAGGGTGTGTATGTGTGTGTGTATGTATGTGTGTGTGTGTGTGTGTGTGTGTGTGGTTGGTGGAGGTGGGGGTGAAGAATGCTTGGTATGTGCGGACGACAACAATATGAAAGGCGGCGAGTGTTCAGCCCAACTCATTGTACGCGTGCAAATCAAACGCAAAAACAATATGTGACGCATTTTATATAAAAACCACGAGCACCAGCAGCCTCGATAAGCCTTTGTGATAAAAATAAATTAAAAAAAACCAAGCCACCATTGCTGGTTTTCACGTCGCGGCCACGCAGTTTATTTGATGTGAACCACCCTGCAGTGGTGGAGATGGTTTGGTCTGTAGTAGGTGGGACTGCCGAGCGGTCTGCTGCAGGACGTCGTAGATCAATGAACCGGACCAGAGGGTTGGTCCATCGCCTGGTGTGCATCTGACTGTATAGATGTGTCAGTATACCTATGCAGGACCGAGGCTTTGATACTGTTAATAACAAGCCTATTCAGAATGCGGATGTTTTAAACCCGACCGGTTACATTACAGGCTCCTCTCACCGCTCGGATCCCGTCTCTTTAAACTGGCTCATCGCTGCGATTTTTTTTTTGGAGGGGGAAATAAAATATCTGTAACCTCCAGGATGATCTTCGCAAACACAGGCAACCCACTGAAGACAGCCAATCGTAAACAGGTAGGCCGGAGAAAAGAAAAAAAAAAAAGCTCACACAAATTCTTCTATTTTATTAAGACCATTATTCCTGCCTTCGTTTTTTTCTCCTCTGGTAAGGCTCCGTTTGAATAGCTCAGGCTGGCTATTAGCAGCCACAGATGACATTGGAAAGCCCTTTCTACCTAATATGCATCTATATCACAATCCTTTTTAAACATAACATGAGTTATTGTCATAAAACAAAAAAAAAAAAAAGATCCTCTCGCCTTCAGTCGACTTATCTAAGGGGAAGCTGGTGCTATGATAAGCTACATGCAGAGAGATAAAAACCAGCTGCTGACCCGATCTGTCGCTCTTACAACCGAGACTTTAATTATTACGTCCATATAACCTTGTGTGCCCAGTCACTCACCCACTGTGGTCAATATGCATGACGGTTATTGTAGTCCATTTTTTATAGATTAATGCAAAAGAGGAGGGCTCAGTGTAATGTAATGTGTGTCAGTGTGCTGGTGTGTGTGTGTGTGTGTGGGGGGGGGGGTGAACTGTGCTGCCAAGCCTGCCTCCTTCATTTTGACCTCTCAGGTGAACAAAAAAAAGGGTAATTGAAGGCCCGTGGCCCTTTGCTTTTCCATCACACCTTTTGAGTTAGGTGGGAGATTAGAATGGAAAGCAGGCACAGAGGTGAGAGGCAGCTGATAATATATAACCCCCTGATGATAGAAATCTGTACCCTGTGTCAAACGACGATCATGGATCTAGCCCCCCCCTGAAATATGTATTCATCACAATGGACTGTGTATTATCATAGAGGACAAAAATGTGCAGGCAGTCTGATGTGAGTCCCTGAACGAGCTTTCAGTGTAGGTGTAGTGCAGGTTTAATCAGCTTTAAGGTGTGATGACGCCTCTGTGAAATGTACCAACCTATATCTGCCCTCTAATGGAGTAGGCGTAAAATCTCTGAGGCCTTATGTGAACCCTTGGTGGTCTCAAAGTAAGCGTGGTAATTGCATACCTACAAAAAATGTAAGGCCTCTTCTTGAACAGGCCTAGCAGATGTTCCTGCCCCAGCAATCAAAAGCAATAAAAAAAAAAAAAAGAAGAAGAAAAATAGCTGCTTTGAGCGTTTAACCATCACATGACAGTGGATGAATATGTCAGGGATTCTTGTTGGCACAGTTGTATGCACGGCTCTGGCTCTGATGGAGTGGATTGTCCTTTGGTTATGGACAGATGGTGTGATTCTGCCATGCTTTGTCTTTGATCTGATCTGGAGAGGGTTTGGGGTGGCTGGGAGCTATTTTAATGAATGAGTAAGGGGAAGGAAATGCTTTGCAGGGCAGTAATGCGGGGTGGTTTGGCTCACAAGTATGAATAAAACAGTTGATAAACACTACGGCAGGATGTGGGACGCAGATTTAAAGGCACACGTACAAGAATAGTTGTATTTGATGAACAGGTGCCGCTACGATGGTGGACAGAAATCATCTTTTTGCAACAATCAGGAGATCAGACCTACCTGCCATTCAGACCCTAACACTGGTACAAGACTTATTCAGATCCTGGTTTTAGATTAATGTAGAAAGAGTTCAGCCTAAAAGTACTACATTAAAAACATGTAAAAACCCAACATTCATAGTATTGGAATATTACCAACCAGCTGAACCCAAAGTATCAAAGTGAAAGGTTTGGTAATGCAGGAACTCTTTTTCCCCCTGGTGTTTATGTTGATATTAAAGAATATAATATCTAAATGTGATTTGTCAATGTGCTACTGTACGAGCAAATTTGATCAATTCTCCTGAGTATAGTTCATTTTTTAAACGCTGAATGTTTTTATATAGTGATGCATTCAATTTATACTGATGTCGTACATTGGGACTTACTCTTATAGCTTGATCTGGTATCAGTCCCAAATAGGCTATTGCTGGGCTGCTCTATTTCAATTAAATCCATTATATATTTAATATATGTTTAGTACTGCACATAATACTGAATGTATCAGCTGGACAATCAGAACAAAAGGAGGAAGCTACCCCACCTTTTAGGAGATTGACTGTCAGCTCTTTCCCACATTTTAGGTCTTCGAGTTCAGCGACTACTTGAAGACTGCAATTTGTTAGTTTTTTTGTGTCTAAAAAAAATAAACTCTCCATACAATCCTGATTTTGCCTGATACATTTAAGTCTGACACCGGTTTCTTCCACACTGTGCAGCACAAAGCCTTTGATTTAACTTTGGTATCAGATCGCTCTCGATAACAGCCAACACCCATGTCTAGATTTGATTGAGGAAGAGAAGGTCAGATTGGTGCGTCCCATATATATATATTTTTTTACAAGCTCATTAATGCGTTTCTAATGTACATTTTGAATCTGTAAAGCAACTCTGATTATCATATAAATGTAGTCAAGTTAAATATACATCTACCTCTGAAATGTCAAGGATTTGTGATGTTTACCTGCAGTCTCGGTCATTAATCATTCAAATGTTTTTGTGGATCATCGATGAGCAGTATAATCTTAGGAAGAGAAGCTAATGACTTCTAAAGTAGCCTGTACATGAAATGATAAAGTCAGACTGTGTGCTCTCTTGTGATCTCTGTTGACCTGGGTTTCAATTAGATTATCTAGCTCCCATAAACTTCCTAACAGTGGCCTTCCTGTGTGCAGTCATACCCCATGACTCCGTCCAGTCCCAGCAGCAGCAGCAACAGCAGCAGCACAGGCCTGGAGCAGCTCAGCAAAACCAACCTGTACATCCGCGGCCTGCCTCCTGCCACTACAGACCTGGACCTGGTCAAACTCTGCCACCAGTGAGTATACCACACAGTTGTGCATGAGAACAATGCAAATATGTACGCCCAGCAGTGTTTTTCAAGTGATATGCTTGATTCTTGACAAAAGTGGGGCAAAGGAGGGCTTAAGATATCACATTATTATCATTATCATACCATCCATGTTTTGATGAAAGTCTCCCTACTGACAACAGACCCTCAACGTCCAAAAATACACTCTTTAAAACCTGCAGTGGAGTCGTAGTTGTACGACTGAGATATGGTAGCAATTCATTCTATAAATGAACCATTTATATAAATAAGTATTTTTCAAAAAAGTATTTGCTCTTTTGACAAGTGTGGAAGGGGAACCATTGATGCCATTCTCATGCTCGGCATGGTAAATAAAGCCAGGGAATGGTTAGCTTAGTTTAGCTTAGCATAAAGACCGGTGACATCCAACCCCTGTAAAATGTCATCATGTCATTTTTAAATATCAGATTTTGAAATGTCTATTTGTGACATTCAGTGGGTTGTAAAGGTTTCCGTTATTTTGTAACCGTTTGAACAGAGGCATGCTAGCAGTATCCCCATGTCTTTGTGCTAAGCTAAGCTGACAAGCTGCTGGTGTTAGCTTCATATTAAACCTACTTCAGGTATGACTTGTCGCATCAATCCAGTCATCTAACTCTTTGTGAGAAAGCAAAAAAGTTTCATGTGTTTAAGCTTTTATGCTAAAGATTACACTTATCTGAGTCACATCATCAGTGGTGATGTGACTCAGATGAGTGTAATCTTCTTTTGTTATTTGTAAGACTGTACAAGCACTTTGTAACTTTAATTAGAACATTGCTGTATAAATAAAGTGTGTTAATATTATAATTATTATCATTAGAACATTCAGGGTTTTACATTATGTTTTATATAACCCCTAAATGATTAAAGATAAAGAAATGAGATAGAATTAGACAAAAGTTTTGGAGTAAAAACAAAAATGTTAGCATTCAAAAGCAGACGTTGGTTTAACCAAAGTGCATACTGACGCAGAAAAAGCTTCAACCATCATACCGCTATAAACAGAGACACACATGGAAAAGTCATAGCTCTACCATGGTCTGTGTAGCAGGCTGGTAAAAGTGATTGTTTTCTAAAAAGAAAAAACAGTCATCAGAACCAGCCCAGTGAACATGTAGGCCTACAACACTTGAGACTATGGGCTTCACTCCCAGCGGTTAGTGTGGTAGATACCATAATTATTGGAGTTTTGTCTCCTCTCTTTCCCTGTGAATCACAAGCATATGGAGAGAGGCATTCACCCCATGTACGCAGCAGCAGCAGCTGTTTGTGTCCTGTTTGCTTGTGTTTTGTTCATGTTCCCAATGGTGTTTGCCAGCACAAAGCAGAAATGAAAGCGCTTTTCATAGCAACAAGGTCTGAATGGAGATGTAAGCTAGGCATTCTGTTTGTTTGGGGTGTGCTCTCAGATTGCAGCTTGTGCCACAGTTCAACTTAAAGTCTGTGATAAAACACAGGTGCAGACACTGAAATTGGATTTAAAATGTTTGGAGACAAGTCAGGGTGATATAGTGAAATAACCAGGTATCACCAATATTAAAAACAGCTTTATGTTATTTTTCATTAAAAAAAAAAAGAAAGGTGTTTGTGCACGCATTGTTTCACTCAACTGAGATCATAAGTGAAAGTGCCTTCTCTACAAATTCATATGAAGTCAGCTTTAAATTATATCACAGGAACTTCTTTGTTAGGACACATTTGATAAGATACGAGCCTCAGTGTCACTTTCTGAAGATATTTCACTGTAATATGTTGTGTGTTTTTTTTTTTTTGCCTAGGTATGGTAAGATTCAGTCCGCAAAGGCGATCCTGGACAAGACGACCAACAAATGTAAAGGTCAGTAAGGATGTTAGCTCACCAACCACTTCTCAAGGTAGAAGATTCGATATAAAGAAGTGTATTTAAGAGTTTAACACTAATTCTCAGGTAGGGCGGGAGCTGCATGTTTCGGTATGTCGTCTGATAAACAGTTTTGTTGGTGGTGTCAAAGTAACTGTTGTTTTCACTTTATGGTCAAAGCAAATCAAATCAGAGTTTAAAGCATGCTTTTAAGACAAGATACTTGATATGAAATCATGTTGACATGTGAAAGCACGTTGTTTTAGGTCCAGACATCCTCTGGTCTGATCCAGAACCGTGAACAGGAAACAGTGGATCTGTCTTCTTGCAAAGTCTGCGCCGCATTACAAAGCAATGATTACACACGCTTAACCAAATCAAAAGCAGAATATGATAGATTGCATAACTCAAGCTGGTTTATAGTTTCTACTAAACAAACGGAAACTAGTGAGTGATTGGGAGAAAGGAAAACACAAAATAAATCACAAACATCAGCTTTTGTTTTGGGGAATGGTGTAAAGGTATGCAAAGTATGTGCGTTTGGCCAGTTAAACACAAACACTCGTCTTTGTTCTCAAAAGAGACGTTTTGAATTCAAGAGAGCAGGAAGTGACTGCTTCCTGCCAAAAAAAAAAATCATCCCAGTAAATTTCTACTCGTCATTCTAAGATTTTGTAAACAGACGAGGAATGAGAGAACTTTACATAGCAATGGTTGCACTTTAATTCGATGTAAGAACGTCTCCATGTATTGTCCCTGACATATAAACTGCTAAATACATAAATAAATAAAAAATACAGAGCTATTACTCCAATTATTTTAGAAATAAATGCAAAGGCAAATCTTTTTTTGTATTGATTTGTATTGTTAATACACACCCATAAAGGTGTATCATCATTGACAATATCAGAGATAATTATAAACCGTATATATGAACCACCATAAGAAATGATAATAAAATAACATGGACAAAAGATGGCTTTCTTATTTGATAACAATGGTTCTACTGACTCCAGGTTACGGCTTTGTGGACTTTGACAGCCCTGCAGCTGCTTTGAAGGCAGTGCACGCTCTGAAAACCAGCGGCATACAGGCCCAGATGGCCAAGGTGAGTTTAGTGTGTGTGTGTGTGTGTGTGTGTGTGTGTGCATTTTTGACTGTCTTGTCTGTGTGCTTGTGTCCGGTGTGTGTTGGAGAATGACATTAGACTGGTCACATGACCTCAGCTGACAAGCTGTTCTTCCCGCGACCCCATTTACTTTCACTGTAGAAACCAGATGTCACGTCTCCGTCAGCCAAAGAACCTGTCAGTCAGTGTGACACGTTCCACACAGAACCACCAGACCACACACTAACACACACCACCCTGCTGAGGTTGTACTGTGTCGACTGAGCAGCTTTTTTTTTTTTTTACCAGAATTATTACTATGTCACTGAGTATTAACAATTATCATTCATGCATACTGATGTAAGCTGAGCTGCACTGAAGCACTACAGCATCCTAACCGCTGCTTTGAGCCATTCTTGATCCTCTGTGACTAATTCAAACTGAAGCACACCCGTTTCTAATTTTTCCGAAATATTTTTAGATGACAAACACAGTATTATGTCTGGGATTTGTCCTGCAGTGGGCAGAGGAAATAGTCTCCATCATTTAATTCATTGCAGTCTCTTCTCTCTCTCTCTCTCTCTCTCTCTCTCTCTCTCTCTCTCCCTGCCCAGCCTGTGTTTCTGAGCTTAAATTCACGGCTGAGAGTTCAGTGATGAAGCGCTGCTCTCCTGAGACATGCATGTAGCTGCGCTGTTTGGAACAAACTGTTTGTGTGTTGTGGTAGCTAGGCTACACTGCTCTCTTGCTGTTTCTAGGGAAGACTGAAGAGGCGCTGAGCTGCACAGCACAGATGAAGTGTGTGTGTGTGTGTATGTGTGTGTGTTGTATGAGTAAGAGCTTATTAATGTATGTTTAACCAAATGTTTTCCTCTGACCCTTACACATACTTGAGGAGGATGTCAAATCCCTGAGACACACAGACATGTTTGGTGTCAGAAAATAATATTTTGGAGAGTAGTGAAGAAATGACACAGAGCTACCACTAGTCCGAATCAGATGAATTTGCCAGTTTGTTTAATGTAATACCATTTTATAAATCTGTTAATGTTATTCTTATTATGTATTTGCCTGTTTATTACATGTTTAAATCTAATGTAAGAAAGTTGTCTTGGTATTTTGGTGCTTTTTGAGTCATGATATTCACGTTCATTTCCTTTTTTTTGTTATGGAAATGTGTAAATTATAATTTGAAAATGAAAAACCAAAGAGACATTTTAGGTGTTGACAACAAAGAGGAAATCTTTTTGCCTTGTGCACAGTATAAAGTCCACACGTGTGTAATGTTATGTCACAATAACCAAAAAAATATGCTTCATGTATTCAGATTCAGAAGTGGAGATTTTAGGTTAAAGTGACCTTTAGTGTTTTTTTCCTTGATTCTTGAGAGATTGTGGTTGGTTTATTAGCATGACGCTCTCTTTCTTTAATCATATAAAACATGTGGCGTTCATTACACTTCTTCTTCTCTGTCCTCTTTATTATTCGAGCAGCAACAGGAGCAGGACCCCACGAACCTGTACATCTCCAACCTGCCTCTCTCAGTGGATGAGAAGGAGCTGGAGAACATGCTGCAGCCGTTCGGCCAAGTCGTCTCCACACGGATCCTCCGAGACTACAGCGGAAACAGCCGAGGAGTGGGCTTTGCCAGGTCCGTCCCAAAAGATTCGAGATGAAAGGAGCTCTCAGTTCTCCTCTTCAGCCAACTTTAAAGACATTTTAGAATAAACCTACAGATTCTTGTTTTTGTTTGTTTTTTTTGTGATGAAAGATGAGCTGTGCAGTGACGCTATGAAGCTACTGCTGAGGCATGATCATTTGTAGGCTAAGCTACGCAGTCGCATTGGATTAGCTTAATGTTTTTTTCTTTTACATTTAATAAAAAAAAACATTACTTTTTTTATGCAGTTCCATGCAAGTGAAGTTAAACTTGTCTTTCAATCTGACCGTTAAACCGATATTACTGCAGACGTGTCCCTGCTGTCTGTTCAAGACTTGCCTCTGTATTTGCTGTCAGTACGTTTGTTCTATCAAACAGTGTAAATCATAAGAAACATGAAGGCTGTGTTTGTTTGATGAGTCTGACATTTTACTTTACTATGTGATCCACCCAACGTCTATCAATGCATTTTCACACAGAATCTGAAAGTGAAGAGAAAACAACTGAAGTCAAAAAAAAAAGTCAATAATGAGCTCCTGTTCAGGCTCTTTCTCACCCTGCCAAGCATATTTGTTCAATTTTAACAAACGTGAACTGGAGTAAAATGAAGAGGGGAATGGTCATTAGAGTCACAATACAACTCTTAATGGAATATTACTGTGAATTACCTCTGTGTGGTTAAATGACGAGTTGTTGTTGTTTTTTTCCCCTCTCAGGATGGACACCACCGAGCAGTGCAACGCCGTCATCTCCCACTTCAATGGAAAATTTATTAAGATAGCTTCTGGAACTCTGGGTAAGTAAGACATTTCTCTTTCCGTACTCTTCCCCCTCCTGTGATTGATTGTTGAGTGACTCTTACATGTTTCTTTTTGTCTTTCAGCTCCCTCTCAGCCCTTGCTGTGTAAGTTTGCAGACAGTCAGAGGAAGAAACATGCTCACAGCGGGTTCATTCCCAACGGACAGACAGGAGATCTCAGACTAGTATGTATCTGCATTTCATCTCACATGCATAGTAATGTTTTGCCCCCTCCCTGCTACCTGAGAACGAGACTGAATTGAGTTTCTATTTTTGTGTCATGGATACAGCCATTACAAGAAATTATAAACGTCTATAATCTGAGTGCTGGCTGTACATTTTTAATGTCAAACAATTGAAAATCCACCTGGAAAAAATGTCAAAATCAAATATTTTACCTTCATAGTCTGTTTAAAACATTATGATAAATCTTTGGCAAACATCTAAAGAGCAAGTGTGCTGGCATATCTTGTTTTTCTTCCTGCTGTTTACCGATTGCCCTGCACCTACTATACGTTATGTGCATATAATCAGCCCTTTAAAAAATTGCTGATGGAACCATCATGCCACAGAGAAATGATATTAACTACTGACATTTCTTCTCAGGCTATGCTCTTTTAGTGATTTCTTTAAAACTGTATCGAGTATTTTCTTGTTCAGTATAATTTTGGAAGTGAGTCCTCCTCCATCATACCTCTGTATGTTACTGAACATTGAGATGATTTGGTTTTAGATTTTGTTAAAAATGCATTATTGTCTGTTTCCTCACTTTAGGGTGCAATGACTCTTACTTATGACCCATCATCAGCAGCCATACAGAATGGGTAAGTTACGTTACATTATGTAAAAAATACTGTGTGTTGGAACGGCCCCATGCACAGAGGCTGTAGTCCTCGACGCAGCGACCGTGGGTTCAAATCCGACCCTGGCCCTTTTCTTCATGTCGTCCCTCCTCCTAACATTTCCTGTGTCTCTTCGGCTGTCATATCCATTAAAGGCTAAAAGGCCCCAAAAATAGCATTAAGATAAAAAATACTGTGTGTTTCCCAGGTATTATTCTTCTCCGTATCCAGTGACCAACAGGATAATGGCCGTGCAGCCGGCCATGTCTCCCTACATGTCTCCTGTCTCTGCTTACCAGGTACTGCAAAATATAACCAAACAGCCTGAGCTGAATTTATATCCCCTCTCTCTCTCTCGCTCTCTCTGTCTGTGTTGTATTTGAGGTTATTGGTGCGTTCCTGCTTCTGTGCGCCTTGTACCGATGCTATACCTTTTATGAGTAGTTGTTAAAGCTGCATGCCGACACCTCACACTCCAGAATCTCAATGTGACAGTGATTTCTTTTCATCTTTCAGTATTCAAAGAGTTTGGTCACCCTGAAACCACATAATACGACAGTAATCTAGTGGTTCATAGAAGCAAAGTAGGCCAAGAGCTCCTCCTCCTCTTCTCAGCAGAGACAGTCATCTTTTCTGAGTAATGCTTCTTCTGAATTGGGTTTTTGTTCACCTAGGTTTTCAATCATTACTCCACGTGCAACAGAAACCCTTCTGACCACCGACAAGATCTGTCACATGAAATGAATTTGAATATGGGGATGACTCAGAGGGTTCTTGTTGTGAAGTGTTGCTACACACAGAGGAGGTTTTGAATAACACCCTCTCCTAGATGTACTGCTGATGAACCCACAACATGTTTTGCTCTTACATTCCTGTCAAGTAAACATTTTTGTCGTGCGGCGAGGTCAGTGATCAACCTGGTACATTAAAGGCCGCATAGTCTAATAACACTTTCTGCATGAGCTTCCTTGCATTCGGAAAAGGAGTTCTTATCAATTCATAATCAAGCCGCAACTTCTGGTGTTGAAAAATTAAGCCAAAGCAGAAGTGCAAAAAGCTGCAATTCCCCATTGAGGCTGACTGCAGGAGACAAGGAATCCCAAATAGGCTCCATATTAAAATGTCCAACTTTACAGCAGAAATAAACGTGTTTACAGCCTGGCTCATTGACGGTTTGGGTCTTTATAGCTGATTTCTTTATTCATAGAAACTGTAAGGGGAGTATATTTTCTTATATCACATCCGTTTTCATTATGTTAAGGCTAAGACTTCTGCATGCATTTGCATATCCAGGGGCGTGGCTGACTTAAATGACAGATGGGGGTGTTGTAGCCTAAGGCTTGCCTCAGCACCACCTCTTCTTCTGTTACTAGATTACTCAAAAGTTGGGTAAAGATAGCATTTCCAAAATGAAGCCCGCCCTCATTAGGGCTTCATAATGCCTCCTCAGAGACCGATGGGTGACGTCACTGACACTACTATGAACCACTGTTCATAGCTAGTAACGATATATACCCATGCTTACTTTTTTTATGAAAAGAAGGAGGCAGGTTTGCTGAAATGTCGAAGAAAGAAAATGGAGTAGATGACGCTTTGTTAAGGACCCAACTCATATATAATTCAGGTGCACACACCCAGACAACAGGCAAACCAAAGCTCTCAACCAGTGGGAGAAAGTGCAAGTTTAACCACACATGCAGCTTTTTATGGCAGGATTTAGTTCCACTTGTAATGTTGTAACAAGAGGCGAGTCTATCTGCATCAAGTTTTTCTGTACATTTGACTCAATGTTCCAGCTTCTCTTACTCTTCCTCATATTAACATTTGAAGCCATTTTTGACTGCATCATCATCTTGCATCTGAGTTTGAAGTGCACAGGATAATTATTTTTGCTTTGAGGGTTAGTTGGAAGCGACAACAAAGACATGTGGTTTAAAGGTTAGCAAAAAAGAGCCTCCTGGTTGAAAGCAGTAGAGAGGGGGGCTTTTAAAAATGTAACAGAGGCTTTGCTGGCTTTTTTTGGTCACAGGTGATGAAGTCAAGCCAAACTTCATTTGCACCTTATAAAATAAAATAACATATGGTATCTGTTAGTAAATTGCGACCAGATAACCACGCACACTTCAATCTCCTTAGGAGAGGTAGGCTGATATGCTCACGGGTTCTCACAAACATTTCAGGTCACAGGTATGATGGCAAACTGTAGACCTAAACTGAGTTTGTGTATTCACCAAATGCTAACTCAAAATCAGACACATGGGCACAGAACAACAGGCAGGAATGTAAGGTTTATGAAGTTTGGAGTCAATTTTCAAAGGCTGTGGACACTGGTTAGTTTTAAAGTTCACTAATATCATGATAACAGAGGAGCAACAACGAAAAGATGAAGACTGCGGATGTTTTTTTGGCTGTCCTTGCTGACTAAGGTCCTCATGCAGGATAAGTGGCTTTAAAAATGGTGGATGGATGGATGGATCCGGTCCAAATGTGTGTTTGCAGCCAAATGTATTATTAAACTGATATCTTCCTTGTATTTCTATTTCAAACAATCCTTTTGAAAGTTAGCTTACATTATACAACTTTCATCCTGGACACGCCAATAACTCTCTTTCCATCTGTTTCTTGTTATTCCTCTCTCTCTCTTTAGGTTCAGAGTCACTCTTGGGTGGCACATCAACCATATATCATGCAACACCCGGTAAGGGAATAACAGTATTTTCTTTTTTTTCTTTTTCATACTCTCATTCACCACCTCCTGGTACAGGAAATGGGCGTGTGGCGCCTCTAAAGCTCTGAGCTCACAGAAACTCTGAGTGTTGCTCACTGCTGACACAATAGAACCAACAAAACTTCCCAAAAATGTCAGAATGTCAGAGACGCATAGAGCTGAGGCGACTTCTGGGAAAAGGCCTCTGTGTATTTACGTCTTGTAAGTGTGTGTGTGTGTGTGTGTGTGTGTGTGTGTGTGTGTGTGTGTGTGTGTGTGTGTGTGTGTGTGTGTGTGTGAGAAAGAGAAATGGAACAACTAAAAAGACTTTCAGTCACTGCCCCCCCCCCCCCCCCCCCCCACGCCTCCCTCTCTGTGGATCCAGCAGGAAATGCCTGAAGCAGAGACAGTCTTGTGACTCTTTGACTCTTCCAACAGATGGTTTCCAGTGGAACAAGTGTCTCTGCTGATCTGCCCCCTCCCCCACTTTTTACTAGGAAATGGTCTAGTCCCTGAAGGTGTCATATTTAAAGGGATATGCCCCGGTCTGAAAACCGACCAGAGCTGGCAACGTCAAACCTTTCACATATTTTATCCCCTCCACAGAGGCAAAGACTACTTAACGTTTACCTCAAAGTCATGTATGATAAGAATGAACTATTACTTCTCAACTAATCTCTTAGACTTTGGATAGGTTTAAAACAATAACTTGTACTGTATGTATACTCCACTCTGCCTGTCTGAGTTTTTGCAGCCCATATGTAGTATTTTAAATGTGGTGTTTAAGGTATCGTATGTTGTGGACAAATAAACATGTCCGCCTTTTGTTGCAGGCTGCTGTGATGTCTCCCTCTGTGGATCCCTCCATGTCACTGCACCCCTCAGCCATGATTACTCAGCAGATGGGGCAGCTGTCTCTGGGAAACAATGGAGGGGTGAGTTGAATTCTGGGATATCATAAATCGCAAATGTTCAAAGAATTGTACAGTGCCCAACAATGGAACATAATCAGAAATATTATGAATGACGTGTGGCAGTGGTTAAACATGTAGCTGTGAAGATGAGGTCAGAATACTATTCTTTCTATGCACAATTTATTCCTGATGATCAATGGTTTGTTTGTGTTTGGTTAACACATAAATGAAGAGCACCGTCTGATGAAAAACAGCATTGTGCAATCCCATGTGAAGCATGTCCAAAAGACAAAATCTCTTGTTCATTGTTACAGTCACATAAATTGCAATTAGCTTCAGAATCAGGCACAGTGTCGAGCTTTTAGCAATGTAAGATGCCCTTGAGCTCCAGTGGGTTTGACCTTATTAATGAATTAATCCCCTTCTTAATGTCTGCATGACAAATGATCAGAGACTATGACTTCTTCTAGATTTAGATCCTAAAGAAATAGACACACAGTTTATAGATGCCCATACTCCCTCATACCTCATGTTTTCTATATTTCGAAGTCAAATTGTGTTTGTTGTTGTAGGTGAATCTCAAAAGCACCCTGAATCAACAGAGTAACATTTACATTTTTTTTTCCCTACAGTATATTTCAGCCAACCCCGGTGTCCAGGGAGCTTACATGCCTCAGTATCCTCCCATGCAAGCAGCACCTGTAAGTCTTTTATACTCGTGTCACATTTGCCTTTTACCTTCTGTTCATTTAGCGGAGATTTACTTTAAAACAATATTTGTTTTAGAAAATAACAACAGCCCACGTCAGTCCAATCATCTGGTATCCATAGAGCTTTGTCTGTGTGTGTGTGTGTGTGTGTGTGTGTGTGTGTTTGACCTCTGAAACTATCAATTATCTCTGCAGTCTAAGCACAGTGAACACAGTGATTATCTCACTCTGAATGAGAGATGCGTCTTTGCTTTTCAGGAAAATGGCACGCCGCAGCAAGTGGATTCTTCCAACAACTCCTCTCCTTACAGTCAGCTCAGCAAGTAACCACAGGTACACGTCCGGTTCTCAATGCAGTCTGTGGGAGGTCAATATAAAGCGAGGTGTTTTTATTAGCAGCAATACGGCCATATTGAATGACCTCATGGGAACTAAGACTTTAGAGAGATATCAGTAAAAAGAGTATAAGCTCACGTGAAACTACCAAGTTAAATTGATTATCAATCCTTTGACTGAATATGAACAAAAATAATTCATCATAATCACATCCACCGCAGACATGTAAGGGAAGTTTATCAAGATAAGATCCAGATTATAATACTTGTCTGAATGGATCCTCAGAAACATTCAAATCAATAACTTCTAAAATAAACATTCCCCTCTTCCTGCTTGGAAAGTCCAGAATCCACCAATGTGTAAATATTTTTCTTACAAAGTTGAAGTCCTTGTCAAAAGTTTTTGATCTGGAGCATTTGGTTTCAGCATCACACATGTTAAGTCACACAGTAGATGACATTAGTTTCTTAATTAGTTAAACAGTGCTTGTATTAGCATGTATGAACTCTCATTCGAGGTGCGTTCAAGAAGAAACTTTCAATAACCTTCTTTTATCAGCTTTCTAGCATACGCGATTATGCACAGCTAATGTCAAACATCCAGGTCCAGTTACATGAAAAACACATTTATGAGTTGAGGACTTAAAATAAGCAGAATAAAAACCTGATCCTTTCAATATGAGACTTTTAAGACTGTATGTCTTTGACTTATTCTTCATTATGTTATAGTTTCCATTTCAATGCTTCTATTCTGTGACATTATCTTTAGGCTGTTAACCGCTCTGTGAGCCTGAGGGCAGGTGGGAAGCTGCTGATGACATCACCGCGATGACGTCACCGCCTTCTCTGTTTGGACCAGATACATGAACTATTTTGCACAGCCCCGACGTTTGTGGTGGAAAATGAGGACAATGTCAATGGACTCAAGCAGCTGGTTTATCACAGAAAACAAACACAAAAAAAAAAAACAACGAAAAACAAGATTTATTTTGGTAAGACACCACACGCTCTTCTTTTTCTCTATTTTCAAGGATTCTCAAAACAAATGCCAGAGGACCCCCTCCCCCCCCTCCCCACCCCCCAACCTCCACCTTCACAACCCAACCCCTATACCCCACAGTATGATGTGATATAGAAATGCATGAAATTGAGGAACCCACCCCCCTCCCTCACAGTTTCTTTGGTTTTTATAGCTCCTTTATTTGTGATGTATGAAAAACCTTGCAAAAACTTGTTTGCACTGAAGTTTAAAGATTCCGAAAAGCTTCATCGTGGTTTCAAAAGTTACCACAGTAATAGTTTGAAAAAAAAACAAAAAAACGATTCATGTTCAACTGCATTTATGATGACACACGTGACCATTTCATTAGGATTAATGAATTTATCATTGGAAAATGGTGCCTTCCTTACGTCACATCAAACATCCTCTGACATGTTTTCATTGAACTTGATCAGGTGTCATATTTCTATCTGATTAATCAAATGTGCGAGTGAAATCATGAGATTAATATCAAGTGTTTCGCTATCTCAGTCTTCTGGTAGCAATAAAGACAATGAGAGTCCCAGGGCAATACTGAGAAAAAAAGAAAGGTGACAAACTCAAAGCAAGGTAATTCCTTATTTTCACTCTTTCCTTTTTTTAAACTTCAAGGTGTGACATAGAAAAAAAAAAAGAGCCGTACTTTTATGAAACAACAAGTTTTACACCCTACGGACATCTTTTAGGAGGGTTTTTTTTGTTTTTTACTCTTGTGGTCGGTGTGACCAGTGATCTACCTCATGGTTCTGCTGGAGTCTGCTGGTGTTTGTTGTGGGGTTTGCAGGTAAAGCCCCTCTTTTTCACTACAGTGGATGAAGCAGAACAAAAAGAAAAAAGCCACGCTCAGGAGCTGGCTAAATAGGACTTCTGCCGTTTGTCTCCAACATGCAGCGTCTCTCTTCCTGATCTGCAAAGAAACATTGTACTCTGCTTTACCTTCAATTTGTCTTTGCTTCTGTTCTGGTATTTCTTTTCCCCCACATGATGAGTGTTGTTCAGTTGTTAGGCTCTATTTTAGAGATTCAATCTATTAGCTTCTCCCTAAAATAGTTGGTTTACAATGTGCTTGAAACAGATGATTGCAGACTACATGTGTGTACTTGGTGCATTTCTCTGCCTTTGCCCTTCTAGACAGATTGAGATGACTCAACACTTTACCTTCCCCTTTCTTTATTTCTTTGAAAAAAATGAAAGTCACTCTGTCGGGTTACACTGCTATTGTAAAGCTCTCCAAAAGTTATGCAAAAATCTGACTATTTGGTTGTACAGTGGCTTCATGGCAGGACACGATGAAAAACTAAGTCTCAAATATGAACTCATGCAATAGAAATGCAACAATCATGGATGAAGTACTTCTAAAGCTGCAGTATTTCATCAGAAGTGGATGAAAACAGCGTGCGCTTCAAAGGTCCGCTGTTTGGAATAAGATTTGTAAATTATAAACATCCAGGGCCAAAAGTGAAAAAAGTAAGATGTATTGTTTGATTTGCTATTTTGTCTTTAATTTGATGATTTCAAGAGTAAGAACTGAAAATGTGAGACAAGAAAAATGCTCAAAGCTGTACGGTCGGTCGCGGTGCTTTTCCTCGATCTATAGTACTGTAGCAGTAAACGCTCACCATCGGAAAAATACAAGCAGTAATCCAGTTTTTACTGGGTGTACTTTCCCATTCTGAATTTTTGCTGCTCAAAAAAAAAAAAAGGAAAAAAAAAAAGAAAAAAATCTTGTACATGTTATCCCCATTGCTTCCCCTTTCACCTTCAACTGATTCTCAAATGATCTTCTCCTTGCTCTCTCCTTTGAAAACATTGGAATAACAACAGTGCTGAATAAAAGGCTCTTCTCTTTCTCACAAACCACTCCTGTCTCTTTCATTGACTTTCTTGTTATGATCATTCTGATGTTATTCATTTGATTTTTGTTTACAAATTCCTATAAGAAATAGAAGTTTTGCACACCTGGAACTGAAAATCAATTTAATAATCGATTGATCTGATGATCATTTTCAGAACTGAGTCTATAAAATTAGGATAAATGCAAAGCCCAAAGTCCATCATTCCTTTGAAGATGTAAATCTGGATTGAAATTGTTCCGCTGGCTAACGCAGGTTTTAGCAAATGCTTAAAAAAACCTTAAACAGTTTTTTTCACTGTCTCCAAATGAAAAGAGCAGCTAATGATAACTGTAATGTTGGACTGTGAATGAATTTATCAGTGTTGGGACATCAATGCAATCTATAAAGAAGCTACACAGGCTCTGGTTATATGTTGTTACTCTTTTTTATTGTTTTCGTCAATTCTGTTGGGGGGGGCGGCGTATTTGACAGTTTTATTAAGAATGTTTATTTTGGATATTGAAAGCTACCTCCAAAATGACAGAAAATGATACACAAATGCTTTCACATGCTGAGCAGTACTACACCAAAAAAAATATCATGGGGGGGGCTCGTGGCGCAGTGGTTAGTGCGCGTGCCCCATGTGTGGAGGCTGTAGTCCCTCAAGCGGACGGCCCGGGCTCGAGTCCGACCTGTGGCTCCTTTCCCGCGTGTCATTCCCAACCCTCTCTCTTCCTGATTTCCAACTCTATCCACTTGTCCTATCTCTCCAATAAAGGCACAAAAGGCCAAAAATAAATCTTTAAAAAAAATATATACAGTGGGTACGGAAAGTATTCACTGTATATATATTTATATCTATATATATATGTTCCAAAGCCACTCCTTTGCTCTTAGGAACCTTGTGTGCTGCAGAAATTCTTTTGTAACCTTGGCCAGATCTGTGCCTTGCCACAATTCTGTCTCTGAGCTCCTTGGGCAGTTCCTTCAACCTCATGATTCTCATTTGCTCTGACATGCACTGTGAGCTGTAAGGTCTTATATAGACAGGTGTGTGCCTTTCCCAATCAAGTCCAATCAGTTTAATTAAACACAGCTGGACTCCAATGAGTCTCAACCCTAACCATCTCAAGGAGGATCAGAAGAAATGGACAGCATGTGAGTTAAATATGAGTGTCACAGCAAAGGGTCTGAATACTTATGACCATGTGATATTTCAGTTTTTCTTTTTTTAATAAATTTGCAAGAAGTTCTTCATTTCTGTTTTTTTTCTGTCAAGATGGGGTGCTGAGTGTACATTAATGAGAAATAAAATGAACTTTTTTGATTTTAGCAAATGGCTGCAATGAAACAAAGAGTGAAAAATGTAAAGGGGTCTGAATACTTTCCGTACCCACTGTATATCTTAATGTGTTGCACGTGGGCAAAATAATCTCAAATTGAGCATTTTATTCTTTTAAAAATGAAAACACAAACCTTCGAGGCTGCCGTCAAGTATTTTTTGTTTTAATTGTGCTCTACTGATAACTTGCTGCAGAGGGCGCTGTGGGCCAAACCTGTCCACTAGGTTTTCAAAGTACACATTTAAAAGCTGGGATATCGTATAGTATGACTCATGTCGAAATGAATGATTCAAACTTCTGGTGGATCAGATGATCAACAAGTGCAACACATGTGCACTCATGTCCCAGTCATTTCCTGCTCTATTTCAGGCAGACAGCATTTGTAGATTCACTCTCACACCGGATCTCCCCTCTTAAGCTCAGACTTAGTACAGCTGATTCCAGAGACATAAAGGCACCATGCCATCATCTCTTACCAGTCAGAGGGATCAAATACAACCGGGGTGCAAGATTAGCCATCACACCCAGTGTCAACCCCCATAACACACACACACACACACCATACATCCTGCCGACTCCAGGAATATATATTAACATCCATGTCCTTTGTAGAAAATACACACACACACACACGTCAATCAAGTGCCCATTGTACATAAGGGAACCAATCCTTTGAACACAAGATACATGTCTGTTAGAGTCTCTCTCTGTTTCTCTCATCTGCTCTGTGTCTCACTCTTAAGTCTCCACAGCTGAGGGGACACATGGCACTGAGCCCCCAGAGAACGCCGAAGGTCAGACCCGGGGCACAAACGCTACGAGGGGAGGCCTGCTGCAGTATCCAGTGTCATTAATTCAGTGTGACAGACGTCAGCAATTAAACACACAGGGTGGAATACTGTTCCTAAAAACACATCATCAATTATATTTCAGAAATTGTAACTTCATATTCCATATGTAACAAAGAGCTTTTTGTAAAGTGTCTCGAGAAAACACTTGTTATGAATTGCCGCTATTCAAATAAAGATTGACTGATTGATCTTGAAGCCTTTTTCAAAGCAAATGAATTAAATATTCCACAGGGTAACTGTTGGCTTATAATTTCATCTTTGCCTTTAAAATGTGGTTGAATGCAATACTTTATCAGAGCAGAAGGACGAACGACTGATATTACACTAAGAAGTCCGAGGTTAGACATGTTTATCGTTCTGTATTATGACAAATATGCAATCTGAAGGATAAAACTTTCTTTGATAGTTTGGGAAAATATTCTTACTTCCTCAAAATTCAAAACAGATATTCATGGAATCTATGGAGATGTATTTTGATGACACCGATTTGATGAGGGTCTAAGAATACATCTGCCTTACAGATAAGAAGCATATTTAACTTCTATTAACGACTTACGTTTTCTTTTTGTCCAATTATAGGATTAACAATCAAATACCTGCAAAACTCATGACATTTCCATCAGCCTCAGCTTTACTGCCATTAGTTGCATGCTAAGCTAGGACAGCTACCGACTAAGCATCATTATGAGCGTTGTAGCATGGTGATATAAGTAAGTCAACAAAGTAACTAGCATGACTGCATATTCTGTTTAATCTTATAAACTGAGCTGCATATTGTACAAGCCATTTTACAAATCACACAAATTGTAAAGCTCAATAAGACACAAGCTGGGATTTTGGTGTAACGAAACTCTATTATTTTATAGTGTAGGCCAAGTCTTTGTTATCTTGTTCCACTCACAAAACACCTGCATTCCAGCCATACCTCTCTAAGAAGGAGGCTTTATTACAGCACTGGCACTCATACGCTTCCTCCTCCTTCTCCTCCTCAATTCAGGAAGCAATTGAACTTGAGCAAACATGTGCACTGCACGAACACACAAAGTCACACAGTCCGCATAGCACCAATCACAAAGACTGTTCCTCTGAGTCGGGAGTGTTGTGCTGCAGTTGACACCAGCTTTGGCCTCTAGAGAGCAACACTTACACATCAGTCAGGTGGTCTCTTAGTGAAGAAGCTGGGTCCTGCAGAGGTCTCACAAGCCTGCAGTTGTTACTGTCACTCAGTATCATCACAGCCTCCCCCTGCACACACACATACACACACATACGGGCAAGTTGGAGCCTGTACAAACACCCACACATGACCCCAGTATGCATGCACACACACTCACCCACGTTCAGACGCGCACACACACACACACACACACACACACACACACACAACAGCACACATGAGCCAAGGAGCATGGGCAGCAGGGTCACCCTTTGCTCCATGCTTCATAAAGGGCGCCGTTACAATAGGTTTACTGTTACTCTGACGGCTGAAGGGATACAATAGGACTGAATGTACTGGCCTGATGCTTCTACACTCCTCTCCATTTTTCACTTGATGACAAGAGAGACAGACTGAGACGGGACAGCATGTTATCAGAGGACGCCCCTGAAGGTGAGTTGACTCATTGCAGGGTTAATGTATTCATCCGTTTCAATGAGTAGTAAAGCTGTAGTGCTGACAGAGGGATATGTGTGAGAATAATTTATGGATTTGTGAATTTTGATGAGACTTATATTCCTTTAAAAGCAGGCCATGATGTGCTTCAGCCACTGCTGTCAGATGTTATTGAGGAAAAAAATGTCTTCCCTGAATTATGACTGAAAGGCAACAGATTTTGAATTAAGAATAAAGTTAAAAAAAAAAAAAAGTATGGTGCAATTGTGACACCGTATTACACATTTAACATCTACCTTCATCTAACTAGATTTTATTCACATACGGGGCATGAATGTTACAAAAAGTGCTGTTTTATTGCATCATGCTGAGATATTTGGGAATTTCAGAAAATAATGACAGTCAAGGAGAGATGAAGAAGGAAGGGGGGAGGCAAGGAGTAAATCAAAGGTTGACTGGCATAAAGGAAAGAAGATGAATTAAGTCAAAAACGGTATAAAATGAAACACCAATTTCACAGGCTGACACTTCAGGGGAGCTTCTGGGCAAGGTGGATCAAAATACAGAGCTGGGGAAGGAGAGAGGAATGTCATTGAGAGAGTAAAAGAGGAGAAGAAGAGTAGAAAGCAGTGAGAGGGATTAGTTCATGAAGAGGAGGTGGGGTTTCTTTTGGGGTGACAGATGGGACTCCCCTAGATCAGGAAGGGTGTGGTGAGGAATTGTGAGATTCCTGTGAGTTGGTACAAGCAGGGATATTTGCACTGCAGCTGTCAATGGTTCAACACCTACGCAGCCCCACCCTCCTCCCCCTCTGATTACACTCACACACACACACACACACACTCATGCACACATTCACGATCATATTTCTGGCTTGTGAGAGTTCTTCGTGGTTGGTTTTGTCTTTGAGTAAATGTTGTCGTTATGTTGAAAAGAATCTGGAGCGACTAAGACAGTGATTCATGATCTTGTGTCGTTAAAGATTAACATATCTTCTGTTGGTGTCTGTGTGATAGGGGGTGTACAGGCTGTGTTTGTTTATGGTGTGTCCTGTCTGTATTTTATTATGCTTCAACGGCCATAGTTCAGTTGAAATGTGATCATAACAGAGGGAAGCTTAATTCAAGCCTATACTACATTGATGTGTAGGCTAATAGAATGAGGGTATACAGTCGTAAGGGAACTTCTACGGCAACTTTTAAACCTACAGGTACACAGT